GAAGGTCCACTATAGGGTATTGCACTTTTCTTGGTGGGAACTTAATGACATGGAAGAGTAAAAAGCAGACAGTGGTAGCAAGAAGTAGTGTAGAGGCTAAATATAGGGCTATGGCTCACACAACATGTGAACTGGTGTGGTTGAAGCATCTACTAGAGGAGATGGGATACTCGATTGACACTCCTATGAAGCTATACTGTGATAACMAAGMTGCAGYTCATATCTCCTCTAATCCAATGTTTCACGAAAGGACGAAGCACATAGAAGTGGATTGCCACTTTGTACATGAGAAGGTGCTTAATGGAGTGATAAGTACAGCATATGTGAACACAGGAAATCAATGGGCAGATCTGTTTACCAAAGGGTTGAATTGGGGAAGAGTGGACTACATATGTAATAAGCTGGGACTATATGACATATACTCACCAGCTTGAGGGGGAGTGTTAGAGTCGGTTGTACAAGGGTAGTACAGTCCTTTTATGTTTAGTTATATATGTATTGCTCTGCTGATGTGGCTCTCACTTAAGTGAGGGCACAATGGTAATCCTTGTATATCTTAGAAGAGTATAAATAAAAGAAGGGCCGACTAGAGGTTTTGAGATTTTTCTCTCTAGTTCGGCTGTGACTTTTCTCCTTCTTTTTCTTCTCTTTCTCCTCCTTCTCTCTCTCTTTTCCTTCTCTTTCTTCTGATCTGAACATATACAAACATCTAATCTGAGTTTTATCACCACCCATGAAAATGTTTTCTTAGACCCAAGTAAGGATGACTCCAGAATTTGGACCCCATCCTCCAATGGTTCCTTCCCCTGTGCGTCGTTTTTTGTGACTTTGGTCCATCCTCCTGCTCCCTCTGGCCTTTCCTTCCCTGTTAATGAGATTTGGAATAAACCCATTCCTCCTCGGGTTGGTAGTTTTTGTTGGGAAACTTTCCTGGGAAAAGATTAAACACAACTGACTTGCTTCAAAGAAAGAGACCTAATTGTTGCTTACTTCCCAATAGGTGTGTTCTTTGCAAAGCTAATGGGAAAACAGCTTACCACCTTATGGTTACTTGTCCAGTTACTAAGACTATTTGGGAGTGGGCTTCATCCTTGTTTGGATGCACTTGGAATCCCCCCGTGAGTTTGCAAAGCTTGTTCTCAAGATGGCCTAAGAAAAGAGGGAAGATCATGTGGAGAAGCATCAGAGCAGCTGTGTGCTGGTCCGTATGGGAAGAGAGGAACTCCAGACTTTTTTCAGACAAGGAAAGATCTATGGAGAATTTAACTGAATTGATACACTTGAAGGTTAGTCACTGGCTGAAATCTTTGGAGCTTTTTTCAGATTTCTCCAAGGCTGATCTTTTGAGAAAGTGGAAAGAAATTGCTACCTCGGCTCAGTGCAAAAGGACCTCTGGAAGGAATCAAAAGAGCAAGAGAATTAAACATTCGGTGCTTGATCATTGAAGGGGACTCGGAGGTGGTAATTAGGTGGTTGAAGGAAGACAGCAATGGTTTGTAGAGCTACAGAAATGAAATGAAAAAATTTAAATGGCTGAGTAGGGATATTGAGGTGAAGTACAGCTGGGTGAAGAGAAGTGCTAATTCCATGGCTGATGGGTTAGCCAAGCAAGGGGTGCTTAAGGATTCTTTGTTTTGGGCCACGTTTTAGCTTTCTTTCTTGTTCTCTATTGTGGGGGAGTTAAGATATTTTACCTCCCCTCTCTTGTACTTAAAGTTTCACAATTTTTATAATCTAATAAAGCATTCTGTTATTGATCAAAAAAAAAAATTCACTGTTTTTACCCAGAGCACCACTTTCACCAACACGCATTCAAGCACAATCTCAGCACTTCTCTCTTTATCTTTAAAAATTCTGAGATTTCTTTCTTCCCAAATCGACCATAAGACACCAGCCTTAGTGCATCTCCACATCAATCTTCCCCTTTTTCTTGGCCACCTAAAGGTAGAAGGATCAAACAGCCTTACCAAACTCCTTGGAGTAATTAACCTGCATCCAAAAGGAGCAAAAATTCTATCCCAAATATAACCTACAAAAGGGCAAGAAATAAAAAGATGAAGGGCAAATTCACCATCTAAATGGCACAAGACATCTATTTGGAGAGAGGCAGTGAGGCACCATCCAGGTATTTTCCTTTGCAACAAATCGCAAGTGTTGATTGCACCATGGCAAACTTCCCAGCAAAAAGCACTCACTTTTGGGGGAACAGGACGGAACAAGACTTCCTTAAATGGGAAAGAAGCTGAAAGGGAGAGAGGAGCGGCCAAGGCTTCAAAAAAGGACGAGACACTAAAAGCCCCCGAGGGATTACCAGTCCACACCCGAGTGTCTACTCTAGTGCCGTCGAGGAAAAACCCTTCAGCAAAAGAAGGAGATTGGATATATGAATCAATTCTGAATCTCTGACGTTTCTCCGGAAACTCAAATTCCATCCAAACCCCGAAAGTGAAGGTGAAGGGAATAGGAAGTCAGCAATAGGTTTACCCTTGAGAAATGATAAAGCAAAAAGGGAAGGAAATGTAATCTTCAAGGGATTTTCACCCACCCAGAGATCTTCCCAGAATCTTACTTTATTTCCCAAGTTGAGGTCATACCTAATGTTATTGAGGAAAAGCGGAAGGATCTTGTGGATTGCTTTCCACGATGCAGCTCTGGAAGCCCTACAAGAGACCCCAGCATTCCACCCGTTCTCAAAGAGCTCATGAATGCTAGTCACCACTTTTGCCCAAAGTCTATCTATCTCCTACGGGAATCTCCACAACCATTTGCCTAATAATGCCCTATTTTTATCCTTAATCCTACCCAAACCCAAGCCACCATTCTTCTTCCCTCTACACACAATATCCCATCTAATGAGATGATCCCACTTCTCCTCTCCTGGTTTCCACAAAAAATCCCTCATGATCTTCTCTAATCTTTTGACAATGGGCTGAGGTATTTCAAACACTGAGAGAAAATAAACCAAGAGGTTTTCTAAAGTGGATTTGATGAGAGTTATCCTACCCCTAATGAAATGTAATTTCTCTTCCAAGTAGAGAGCTTCTTTTCAAATCTTTCCACTACTGGATCCCAGAAATTCAAAGATCCAGGGTTAGCACCAAGAGGGAGTCCTAAATATTTCAAAGGCCAGTCGCTTGATCCACACCTCAGTTCTCTAACCCGCATATCTATCTCCTCTTGACCCATGTTGACCCTTGCCACCACACTTTTGCTCAGATTTACCTTTAAGCTTGTCGCCTTCTCAAAAAGCCTTAGGTCTCTAGCACATTGATCTCCTTCAATTTCACAAAAAATGATAATATCATCTGCAAATTGTAAATGGGTGTCCACCACTTCTTCTCTTCCTATTCTCCATCCCCTAATTATGCCCATCTCGTCAGCTTTTGAAATCAATCTGCTAAAGACCTTGACAACAAACTAAGAAGGCTTCTGAATATAATTTCAACCTCTTTGAATGGAAACCAGACAAAAAACAAGCCATCAATCTTAAACCTTTCTACAATGACTCAAGTATGCATTGACTTTCTCATTTCCCCTTCAAGGAAGTTGTTGTGAGGGTATGTGCATTCACTTTTGGATGTTTTGTCTGTGTATTCCACAAATGAAGCCCTCACGAACCTCCCTCTTGGTTAGCATTTGTGAACTTAAAAATAACAAAGTCAGAATACATTGTGAGAACTCATTGGTGGAGAATGTAGAACTTCCTCTAGTTTTGAAATCCCATTTTTTTCTTCCAAGTACACACTTCCTATACTGGAACATTGGGCTTTAGTCCAAAACACGAAAGAAGCCAATAGGCCATATCAGCATATCATTGTAGAGAAGGGTTGAGAACTAGGAAACTCCAGGTTTGCTATGAGGTGGTGGTGATGCATGGTTGGGTTCCTTGCCTCCATCAGAATGCCAATAACTTGGAAGCTGATACTTCAGTACAAATTTTTGAAACACCTTACTGATATCATCATTCAAGTGGATGAGGGAAACTCTAACCACTGATTCTATCCGTGAAATCCTTTTATAACTCCTGCTGGGTCCAGCTGTTGATTCTTTCCTATGGAAATGTCTGTTGGAGGCCATCGTTCCTTCCAGTGTATCCTTTATGTTGAGGAAAAATCTATGATGCCGGAAAGATGTGGTACCAGAAACACTTTGACCAATCAAAGCCCCCCATGAATATTGATGAAAGCCCACCTGATTGGTCACCACTTTTATGTTGCTGGTTGATTGGTTGTAAGCTTTTCAGGTATCATGTCTTTTCAGCATCATAGTTGAACACTTATGACGACAGCAATTTTAAATAAAAACAATACCATAAACCATCTTAATTCCTTAGGCAGGAATATAGACAACATGTCATTGAAGAACCTCCTGTGAGTAGTGGTCTTTTCTTTTGTTTCTTTTCTTTTTTCAGCTATTCAACAGATTCTGGGTGCTGCAGCTGCTGCCTAGGAACATTCGTAGGCTGATCTCGTTTTTCTCTGCTGGAGGCTATAGTACAACCTCCTTCCATATGCTTTGTGCTTGTGCATATTAAAGGAGGAACTCTTATCTTTTTAAGGGGAAAAAAGACAGCCACAGCAGCACTTATTTGAAGGTTTTTCATAGTTTCATTTCATAGAAAAATACATGAAAATATGTATGTGGTTTTAGCTCATTAACCATGTAAGCTTTTTGTTTTTCCACTCATTGTAGTCATATCTATATATCACAATAAATCCAAAATATAAATTCCTTTCTGTAATCATGTCAGCCAATCAGTCTAGATTTTTTTTATCAATTCAATCTACAGATTTCTTGGTTGACCACAATTCATTCTGGATCCACATCATTGGCCTCTATACTACCGCTTTAATGAAGTAACCACGGAAATTGTTTGAAATTCCCCCATGAATACAAAATTGATAAACAAAGGAAAATTTTGACAATCTCCATAAGGAGTTTCAAAAATTGGTAAAAAGTGGCACAGGAAAAAGGCAATATATGAAAATCTAATAACATACCATCTTGATGGGCCACCAATGGAACTTCTATTGTCACTGCCTGCACCACTTCCTCCTTGCTGAGATTGGTTTTCACTTTTACCATTAATATCACTATTACAGCTCACCTCTGGTTTAATTGCTGACCTCTCCCTATCATGCCTTGAAAAAATGCCTTCTTTCTGAAGAACTGATTGATTACCCTTACTCTCAGGTCCACTGACATCTATAGCAACCATAGATGGGTGACGCTTGATCTTCCTAAGAGAACTTTCTGTTTTGTATGCTTCAACCTGCTCAAAATTCCAGAAACCTTAGACATGGAAATGGTAAAATGATGAAAGCAGAAGTCTAACAAGGATAGAAGCAAATATGTGATATAATTTCTTGCTTGAAAAGTGGTAATGTTACAGCTATGAAAAACACCACAAACACATGAAACATACACATGGAAACAAAAATGCAAAAGGAAAAACGAAAATGTCCAATGTATTTCCTTCCAATCATTAGAATACTATTGGATCATCTGTTTAGAAGAGAAAAATGCTCAGCACAGAAAAATTCTTCACCACTCTAGCACGAAGTGGTGAAGAGTATTCATGGATGTTCAGAGAGTGGATGGGATGCTGGCGCGTCAAGGAGGGCTAACCTAGTTACACCATGGAAAGCAATTCATAAAATTCTTCCGCATTTCCTCAGTTGTGTCAGGTATGATGCTTGTTCTGGTAATTCTATTCAGTTTTGGGAGGACATTTAGGCTGGAGATCTCCCTCTAAAAGACCTTTTTCCATCCTTGTGCTCTATTTCTCTGTATAAAAAAGAGGTGATCTCAAAATTCCTTCCATGGATTTTAAATTTGTCAGCATTGTCTTGGGACTTTGGTTTCCGTAGAGGGTTAAAGGGATGAGGAAGTTGAGACTTTGTCTACTCTTCTTTGTCTCCTTGATAAGGTTTGGTTGGATCCTTCGAAGCTTGATAAGAGGATTTGGGCCATTAACCCCAATGAGTCGTTTTCTTGTGGTTCCTTTTTCAATTTCCTTTGCCAAACATCCTCTCAACAAAGTTTCCCTTCCAAAAAAATCTGGTGTAGGTCGATTCCTCCCAAGGTTATGGCTTTGTGTTGGGAAGTGTGGCATGGTAAAGTAAACACAATGGATAACTTACAAGAAGACCCATCCTTTGTATTTCACCAAACTGGTGCAGTCTTTGCAGATCTCATGTGGAGGATTGTAACCACCTATTTTTATCTTGTAGTGTAACTGCAGAGCTCTGGGCTTGGCTTCTATCTTTGTTTGGGTGTAGTCGGGATATGTGGAGGTGCATGCGAGCAGCTTTGTTATGGACAGTTTAGGAAGAAAGAAATGTCAGAATCTGCCAAGAAAAGGGAAGCAGTCAAGCCTTAAATGACTGCATTATGTACAAGTCAATACATTGGTTAAAGACCCTAGGAATTGTTTAACCATTTCTCTTTTACTGATTGTTGGAAGGATTGGTTATTAGTAGCAAGAACCTCCTCCTCCAAGGTAAGGGTATTGACTAGCTGGGGTCCCCCTCCTCTTGGTTCTTTGAAGCTGAATTTTGATGGGATAGCCAAGATAAACCGGGTCCCTCTGGGATGGGAGGTGTACTGAGGAATGAGGCTGGAGAGGTTGTCTTACTCTACTCTGGCCTGTTAGGTGTTGGGAACTCTATTCGGACAGAGCTGTTAGTTGCAATACAAGGAATACTTCTTGCAAAAGAAGTAGGCGTGGAGCAGCTTCTGATTGAAGGGGATTCTAAGACAGTGGTGGATTGGCTAAATAATCCAGAGGATGTCACTTGGGGCTACAAAAATGAGTTAAAGAAATTCAAGTGGCTGACAAGAAATATGTCTATAACAGTACAGTGGGTTGGGAGATCAGCTAATGCTTTTGCCGATGTCTTGGCAAAACAAGGGACAAATAGGGAAACATTGTTCTGGGCGAATCTGTAACTCTGATTTAACATTAACTTTCTTGTAATCTCTGTTGTAGTTTATGCATTTGCCATTTGGAGAGGTGGCACCTCACACCTCTCTAAGGGGATTTTCATGTAACCAATTTTTTAATTAACGGAAGATAATTTATTTACCAAAAAAAAAGGATTTAAAAAGAAAAATGTCAAAGACCTATTTCTCAATTTTCTGAAGTGAATCAAACATGGTTATGTATAACCAATAGCTATGGAAATTGAATGCAAAGTATGTCAAAGACCTATAAGAAAAGAGATAGCCCATGCAGGTATATCAAATATAAAGGAATTGAATGCAGTATATTCCGAAAGAATATTAGAAAAAAAAAGGTCTAAACCTACTCCATGATTATGTAGAACCAACAGCTATGGAAACACTCAATCAATACAAGTTTCGGGGCTTTCAATAACACATAAGAAGCTGCTCAACCGCAGCCCCTTGATTCATAATTTTCATTCATTGGTTGTTTTTAATGCTACTTCAGATTTTTGGGTTTCCAATATTAGCCATAATCATTGATTGAAATAATTACCAACCCAACAAAACCAAAATGAAAAATAATACTGTAATTTTATTAGATGCCGGTTCAGAAAAAACCATAATGATAATAATCAAGACAAAAAGTCATCCAGTGAAAACAAAAATTACTGGAGTGTGGCTCTATATTAGTTATGGTCCCCCAGTTATCCCCTCTTGCATTCTTTTTTTCTCTAAATCCCAATATCTCTATTTAAACAAGTAGGTTGATTTAGAACTTATCACCTTTACTTGTGCAAATGTACTACATTATAAACCAAGCTGCATCCAGTAAAACAAAGAGGACAAAAAAGCTCACAAGAAATTAGTTAACAAAAAAAATCACTTTGTAAAGCATTCACCACAACCAATCAAATTTTTATACACAAACCATGAGATAGGCTCTTGTGATAAACTATCATTTTCCAAAGTAAAGGGCATGAAACAGACAAGAGCACAAATTTGCATAAAAGGAACCCCAAGTTGCAATAAGCCCAGCATTACCGCATTTTTTATTTTGCTTGTTATGTCAGTAGCCTTCACAGAAGCAATTCGCAAACACTGCATAATCACATTCTGCATGACACCCTCTCCACCTGCTTTTTGGACAGCACAGACATCACCATTTGTATTCAATGTGGCAGTCATTCTTCCTCCCATAACAGCCTCTTCACTGTGAGTTGGATCTATCACCTATACAGCAACCCATAGTGTCAGAAAGATGAACCAGAACTAACAATTCTAAGTTCTAACTTGAATACACAAGCATTCAGATGAGAACAAGATAACAAGTTATGGTTTAAGACTTTGTGTACCAACCACAGTGTTCCCATCACCAAAAAATGCAAAGGTTACTGCTATAGGAAGATGATGTATTATCAAAGGGAGTGGCTCCTTCGCCTGTCAAAATGCAAAAGAAGATGAGCATTTGAAATAGATCAAATATCAGGACATAGGTTTCTCTTGGTCAACAAGAGAAGATCGTTTATCAAGCTCCACTAACCCAAAATGCTTGGAGTCCTCTGCAGAATGTGGAGACTAAACTTATAAATTGGATTGTACACTGCAGTTTCCCTAATATAGAATCCACAAACCTTAGTTTAGGGCAGGTAACATTGATAGTTTTTATATTAATATGGTTTTCTTTCTGCTAAAATCTCTTTTGTGAGAGAAGACAATTGGTGCAGAGATCAAAGTTCAATTGGATAATACTCTGCAGTGTACATAGCATGTAGCATCCATGGACATTAGTCTGAGGCAGATAATTTTTTTTGATAATTTAAAATTTTTTTGATAGATTTTGTGTATATATTTTTCTTTTTCTAACAAATTGAACATCAAATTGTAGGTTAATTCATCAGAGAGAGATAAGAAGAAGAAGAAGAAGAAGAAGAAAATACCACACCTTGCAAAGGAATTGCTGATCTGAATACCCATTTAAATAAGGTATACCGTATAAAGATTGAGGGATGATGTATACAGGCTTTAATCTAACCATCCCAAAATTACGGATGATGCCTTATTGTACTTAAGCATTTACTTACAATTACAAAAGCTGTTTAGTATATTATTCATCCAAAAAAAAGCATTCATCCTTGAGGCCAAATATCTTGCATCCTATCACTAATAAACTGTCAAAGGTGCCATGAACCCCCATCAGAAGAGAGCATCCATCTTACAGCCACCGATAGTTGTCAAGGTGATGCCTAGGTAAGCACCTAGGCAACACCTACGTGATAAGGTGCTCATGGAGGGTGACCTCACTTGATCACCAAGATATTTTCCACACAGTGCTTTTGGATGCTTTTATATTCTTAACTTTTTTTATTAGCAAAAGGATTTTATTATAATTTCAGAAAACTTAGTACAGTTATTAGGCAACCCCACCAGCCCAAATTACATCAGATTACAATTTTGCCCAGAAGAGAAGAGGCCTTTCAACTCCTTGTTTTGCTAATACATCTGCCATCCCATTTGCAGTCCTTACCCAACTGGAATTAGTATTAAACCTCTTTGTAGGAGATCAATTTCCCTAAAAGCATGTCTGTATTTTCAAGGAACTGAACTGATTTTCTTGGTCCCTGAGATGACTAATTGTGAATCTCCTTCAATTTCCAATTCCCTAATTCCAAGCTGTACTGCGTCTCAGTCCTTGTAAAAGAGCCAATATTTCAGCCCGGGCCAAGTCTGCAAAGCTAATCAGCCCTGAAAACAAGGTCACTACCACTCCTTGRTGATTTCTAAAATCTCCCCCTATTCCTACTCTTCCTAGATTACCCAACAAGCTACCATCAAAGTTCAAMTTTAGCTTATTTGTAGTTGGAGGTTTCCACTCAGTTCTTACATTTTCTGCATGTCTTACTGTCTGTGCCACTTCAGTCCAAGACCTTATTATATCACTTGTTGAGAATTCTTGTAAAATGTCCAACGTTTTTATTTAATGTATTGTTTTTACTATTATGGCTTCAATCAATTCCTCGAGCCCTGAAAACAAGGTCACTACCACTCCTTGRTGATTTCTAAAATCTCCCCCTATTCCTACTCTTCCTAGATTACCCAACAAGCTACCATCAAAGTTCAAMTTTAGCTTATTTGTAGTTGGAGGTTTCCACTCAGTTCTTACATTTTCTGCATGTCTTACTGYYTGTGCCACTTCAGTCCAAGACCTTATTATATCACTTGTTGAGAATTCTTGGAAAAGATCCAAAGTGTTTACCCAATGTGCATCCTTATTGTTATGGCTTCAATCAATTCCTCCTTGGATTTACTCTTCTCCTCAAAGATTCTCTAATTCCTTTCTTCCCAAACAGTCCACACCAACACTGCTCTTACTGCCCCCCACATCAGTCTTCCTCTCTTTTTCCATTGCCTTAAGAAATTGGAGTTGAACAAACCTACAACATCTTGTGGGGGAACCCATTTGCAACCAAAAAGAGAATATAAGCATTTACAAATGCAAGACACAAAAGAGTAGGAGATTAATAAATGAGGAAGGGGTCTCACCACTTTCCCTGCAAAGGATAGACACATAAGGAGAGAGGCACTTATTTGGCCTTCTTTTCTATAGCATATCACAAATTTTGATCTTTCCAAGGAACATTTCCCAACACAAAGCTTGTACTTTAGGAAGGATAGGTTTTCACAAGAAAAGAGGCTATTAGGCGAGGAGACCAAATTCTACCATCTAAAGTGTTTTTTTTTTATCCAAAAAGGCATTTTCCAATTTTGAAAGTAAGAGAACAAGGGAGCCACTCACTATCTCTCATACCTCTCCTAAGCAATGTTTTAAAAGCGCAAGGCGCAAAAAAGGCCACGCTTGCTAATTTACCTATCTTTTTCCTGTCGGTGTTTAAAATCCCAGTGAAGGTTGCTAATAGATTGGAGAAGTTAATGAGAGATTTCCTGTGAGAACCGGGAGAGGAAAAGAGGGATCATAGAATTAGCTAG